ATAGGTGTAGATGTGCTGCCTGATACACACACTTCAGACTCAAAGGAGCCACACATTATAGGCAGACAGACCTGCTTACAGGGGATAAACAATATAAAGGGCGCCTCCTAGGACATTGTGTAGTGTTTGTACAGCAGGACTGAGAGGTTATTACACTATAGTTGATGTTGTTTGTGTCACTTTGGGAACAGACTTCATTCCTACATCTCAGAAAACTTCTAATTGTTGTATCATAAAAACTAAATACACTGGTGCTTGCATGAACATGTCGTTTCGTGGAATTCTTAATTGGCAGATGTATAACCGGTTTGAGATATAATTTACTGTATGTTTCTTTCTTCAACAGAAACATGCTGCCTAATTGGACGAATTACTATAAAGTCATAAGCTTGTTTTTACAATCACATCTGCTGGTAGATGTACTCATTAGTACCGGCTGAATTGTTTCATAACTAAATAAAGTATACATATCTAAAGCTTTGTGCATGACTATTAACTGGTACTTGACTGTTTTTGTATATTATTACTAACATTAGTGATCCTGCAGATTTTAAACTTTTATTAGAGTCCATATATTTGAGTATCCTGAGCTCATACATGTTCATGAGAAGAATGAAATGAAAAGAAAAAGAATAAATACACAAAATAATTCTGCCCCGGCTTTAAGCCCTTTGGATTAGCTTTCAGCTAACCTTGCAAAAACATATCCACGATTCCCTCAGGTCTTGTGAAGAAGAAAAAGTAATAACAGGACAGACTATCTCTTACTGTTTGGGAAACATGCGCGGGTACGTTTTACCTCAGACAATTCAGATGGTGTGTACCTACTTTTCAAATTCTGTCAGCTCTACCCTCTTTATTCAGTAGACACTTCCCATAATTCAGTCCTGTGACATACCGAGATCAGTTTAACTTGCCTAATGATGCAGAGCCGGTACCTCTACCCGTTTGACACCCGGAGCAGACTGATGCACATGGCTGAAGGAAATCTAGTCTGCGACTAATGGAAAAAACAAGACTGCCAGTATCAGACCGAGCACACCCAGAGAGGATGTGGACGTACAGTAGCTTAAGGCTGCGGCCCTCAACAGGATAAGCTGGTTAGAAGATGGAGAGATTGATGGATGTCAAGTCTGTGCAAGTCTGTTTGCGAGATAGGTCGTAATCCATAAAGTTCATGGGGAATACTCTTCTGTATTTACTCTCAGAGAACAGGGTGTTGCTCAGGTTTCCCCCGAAATGCAAACATTCTGAATGATGGACAACATTTGACCTTTAACAAGTAAAACCCTCACAGTAAAAGCCTAATATTTGATGTTAAATAAAACAAATGTTGATTTAACTTTTGAGTCTAGGGACACATTAAAGGTGGGGTACTGTAGGTAATTTTGGAGAAACCAGCTCGAGTGCGCTAGAATTAGAAAATACACAGCCGGAAGAAATCTGCCACTTCCTTACAGAGCCCCTCCTCCAACACACACAAACGTGCACATGACCAATGAGGACACGAGATAAGTTTGTGCACAGATGGAAGGCTGACAGGCAGGTAGGCCATCCAGTTATTTTAGCCGGGCCGGCTAAAATGATTGGTCGTGCTTTTTACAGTACTATGGCTTCCACAGATGACATTTTTTAATGGATTTTTTTATCAAAGCACTTAATATATTCATTGCTATCGGGATGTTAAGAGCATTCCATGGAATATAACAAAAAGTGTATCTCGAGCCGGTTTCTTAAATTTACCTACCCCACCTTTAAGGGATTAAGACCAAAACGGCTGATAAAAAATGTATATTTCTATAAAAAGGTCTTGTCTCAAGAAGCTTTAAGTAATGTTTTGGAATACACATTACATGGCAACTTTAACACAGATTTGATAAAAAGGTAAGTTGTTTTTCTGCTCCGTTTTCTCTTTTAAGATTGGGTTAATTGAGGGTCTGATGACTTAACAGCTACAGGGACTTGAGCTGTCCTGTACGGTCCTTTTAAACGGGACCTTTCAAGGCTAATTACGTTGGAATGCCAAAGCGGGCAGCTAGAGAAACTGGACAATTTGTAAAGCTCCTGTTCAAACGTGTTAAAAAATAACAAAAGCTTCAAATTCATATAATTAAACATCTCAACAATGATAATTCCCAGTTGTATTTGGTATGGCCTACTGCCAGGCACCTTCAAATGTTTTACCATCAACATAAAATTAACCGATAAAAAAAAGGTATTTACAGACAACAGCACGTATCGTGCACCACATATCTGACGTTAGAAATATGTGCACATCACACGTGACGTTGATGCAACAGAAGGGAGTGTTGCATTGCAAACAAAGGCTGTTTATTGCCCTAAATAAATCTGCTCACTGAGCATTTCATCAGAAAGCTTTCCACAGCCCATCTTATCTATGTGCTACTTTTTCAATATAATACATTCTGCAAGATAGACAAACAAATAGGCTCAGCATGTGTCCTGAATGTCTGTTTTTAGGAAGACAACGAGTTCCAACTTGCACTGTTGTTTCAGTAAAATGTCCCTTTTAAATCAGTCAGTAGCACAAAATAAATGAATGCAAATAAGTGAAAGTGCTTTCTACATGTGGACTGAGGCCCCTAACCTTTTCACATAAGGAGCATCAGTGATCCTAGTGGAAAAATCTAGTCTAAAGCCCTGACAGCACTATCGACTTACCAGAGTCCAATAAGAGACTCAAAGGCCTGAAGCCCCAACCTCCTATATAATGTTTTAGAGGTTTATTGCAAAAAGAGGCTATTTTCTACTAGGTATTTGAGATAACACTCCTGGACAACATACATACACAAACAGGAATGGGCTAGTAGTAATTACACTGCATACCTTGTCTTACAATGACATAGGGAGCTTTTACAGGGAGTGCTTTGCACAGCATGAGTGCTACCTGCTCATTTACTCAAATGTTCACTAGCCGCACCTTGCTGCAAAGCATGAAGCAGATAATACCAACAACCTGGCTTAGAAGCACTGGAGAGTCATCTTCTTCCCCCTTTTGGAGGTCACCAACCAACAGTTGCGTGCATCCACTAATACTTAAAGTAAAGATTGCTTTTGCTCGGGGGCTGTAACAGAGAATGAGACTGAGACGCTGAATGCGAGTCAGGGAGACTTGTTGCGTCCAGCCAGGGGTTGTTTCATTTCAGCCTGACATGGGATAGCAGATTAGAGCCCCCTGCACTCTATTGCTTCGCCGTGCATGAGTGCCAGTGTGTTTTTGCTCCCGTGCACGTTCCCCAGCCTTGTTTATGAGAGTGTACGAGCTCTGACCGTCTATCAAGTTCCCCGAGCGCCCTGCAGTGTTCCCAGGCACCAATTATGGAGGAACTTGTCCCTTTCTCTTCTGTATTGGAAGTGATGTGGCTTGCCCTACAGGGTCGACACCACCACTACACCCACATATCTGCAGAGATTCGACCAGTGCCCGTGGCCCTCCACCGCAATCCTGGAGAAATGATAATTATGACATCCGCCCACTCATGAGGCAAGAGATAGTTCAACTCCCTTGCCCCTTGTTCCAGCCCTTTTTTTGACTGATTCAATATTCTGTGGGCTCACGCTGCCCACTTTCTCCGTGTCTTGGGAAGGCTCTCCAATATCTCTCTCTGTTTCTCTCTGTGTCTGAAAGTAGTGTGCTTTAATAAAGTTTCCCAATGCCCCCTTTCCTGTTCTACCCTGCAGCTGATGCTCTTATAACTGCAGTCTTCTCTCACAGGCCAGATCCATTGCCTGTGGCTGTTCCACACATTAAACAACACCTATTGAAACGCCAACGCAACTGTATTCAGGCCTATTGTTAATTGATAAATGGGGCAAAGCAAGAACTTAAATCAAGCAGCACTCCCTTTGTGAATCACCCTTTCTTGCATAATGTGTTAAATTGGCCCACATGTCTCTGCATACCATCCATCAATAATTAATCTCCCATTATTCAGACACACAAGGCTTAGGCAGTCCATACATTTATGGTATGGGGCCCTTAAAACCAAGATATTAGATTATTAACCACTGATTCATTCAAGCACGAAATTGGGATCCAAACTCAATTATGCAATTCACAACCAAAAGCTAATTAGACACTTCTTCCCTTCATTAACTTAAATAGGACTCACCCTCACATCTAGGGGGGGGGGGGGGGGGGGGGGGACGACACAGTCCTGCAGGACAGAGTGCAAACTGATTAAATTAAGATGGAATGCAGTCAAGATTTATTTAATCCGCCCTGATCTACGGTATAGCGAGGGATGTATGCTTAATGAGTTTATATGAGATTAACAGACAAAATATGCCTCTGAAAAAATATAAACCCCTTCTTCTCTCTGGTTGGCTGTTAGAAATCGTGATGCAGTGTCCATTAAAACACACCTGTGACCAGTAGTTATTAATATTCATACATACAAAAAAGAGGAACCACAGAGAAAAATAATGCAGAGAGAGTGTATTCATGCAGATCTCTAATTAGGTAAAGAAAAATACATCCAATTTAGGTTTTTAGGTATTTTGTCACTAGGTATGAAATACAAAGCAGTGTGTAGGCACATCACCAGTCTTAATTACCATAAGCTTTCACAGAGCCGTAGGATACAGTAACTGCGTGTGGCAAACAGCCAGGTGTGCTCGAGGTAATGGAGCCCCCTCAGGGAAACTCGCTGTTCTCCTTCTGTCAAGTCCAGACACTTATTTTTACAGGACTTTCTCTGCTTGTAAAACCTTGCCAGTGAAACAAAAAAACCTACTTCTACAGTAGTTGACAGTCCACGTACAGAAGCACATTTTACAGGAGTGATATGTTTAGAGTAAATATGGAAGGGTCCTGTGCTGGTTAGTTGGAGCCTGCCCATAACGGACACCTGGATTCCATTTCATTTCATTTCAATTGAACAGAAGGAGCCCCATAAAGCCCACCTGGTCAAATAAATAAATAATGTTTTATAGAGATATAAACATATTTATCACAAGTGACTCTGATCGTGGCTTACCGTCTATAACTGATAAAAACAGGGGAAGAATATTCCAAATTCCACCGATCTCAGTCCATCAGTACGCGGCGCATTGGAGAGGAGCTTTCCTCCACAACACTTTCTTCCCGTCTCTTAAAAAAAACTGGCTGCCACACGGAGAAACTTCACAGGATCCCTCAGTCCCCACTTGTCCTCTCTGCTCCACAGTCTCTCTTGAGTCTGACACTCTGCTGTCACACACGGGTTTCTAATTATTCCCTTGCGCGGCGAACCTTCACTCCGGTCCCGGGATGATTGAGCGTCGCCCTCCTCCCACAGCGTCCTCAGAATTAATTACGATTAAGTTGCAGGTTTGAGCCACCAAACAAACCCAGGGTCGAGATTAAAAAGCTTAGATTGTATCTTCTTGTACAGTCCACTCTGAATGAGGAATGCGTGCACAGTGTCCAGCTCTGGCGCCGAGCCGCGCGCTCTGTGTAGTTAACCAATCTGCGATATATTGGAGTTGCTCCGTAATTTGCATGCTGTAGAGGTGGACTACAGAGACTGGAAGTTGCGTCAAGCCAGGCACAATAGAGGGAGGGGGTTCTGGTTGTGCCTTTCAAAATAAAAGCACATCGCTAATAGAAACTCCACTAAAAATAGTAATTTAGACATAATTTCCATATAAGACAATATAGATGCTTTGTATAATTGAACTCCATATTTAAAAATAAAGAAAACCATCAATGAGCATGCTCTTACTGCCACAAAGACCCAACCTAGAATTGAGAAATCCAATCGCTTTATTTAGAAGGGAAAGTTGCTTTACTTCCGGGATTTCCTGGTTATTTTTGATACATCTGGGAAAGCTCTGTAGGAGTTATACAGAGCTCCTCCTCTTGGAGGATCTTTCAATAGGAAGAAGAAAACTTGCATTGATGGGCTTTAAATAGCCTGACTGCAGTAATGTAACTGAAAAATAAAACTGATGCTATCCAATATAGGTATGTCCAATGCATCAAAACACAGATCAATGATCCAATAAGCCCAACAAAACCACCCTATAGTGTCTTACCTTGAATACAATTAGATATCATGAGAGAAAATAAGGCTGTTTTTCTGTGAAAAAGTCAAGCGGCTAAGTGTGTGTGGGGGGACAGGGTGGCACATTGCATACCCTCCATTATGCAGCAAACTGGGGTGCAAGCTGTGTCCTTGAACAAGACACTGAAGTGCAAGCAGTTCCAGCTGAGTTGTAGCTCAGCCTGACCTCTGACCTCCCTCTGTCGCAGGTACTAGTAAAGTATGCTAAAGCCAATCTGGATATATCAAAATATCAGATAGCAGCTGATTCATCTGCGTCCAAACCCCAGCTGGATCACTTTCAGATGGGCCGAGAATGTCTCCCTCGCGGTGATGTTTTATGTGCCCGCCGCGTTAAGCTAAGTGGGTTTGTCATAAGATTAGTGTAAATGTACTCCCCATCTGGGACATCAGAGTGGTGCAAGTCCTCACCAGTGACCCAACCCAGATAGATCTTTCTCAAAGGAGATGGTTGGAGAACTGAGAAGTGAAAAATTACAACCTTGAAAATACTTGATCGTGTAATGGAGCCCATAGGAGTTATTGCAGAATGAACAGTAACTCGATATATCACTTACCAATTCGTTAACCCAACTTTATATGATTTAAAAGTATGTTTTCTACTTTAATGGCAGTGATAAAAGCAAGCGCTGTATATTATAAATGTTTTTCGCACTGTCATTCTTTTCAAATAACTCCCCCGCATAGTGTCTCGCATGCTTTCAGAGAAATATCCTTTCAGTCGCGCTTAACTACTTTCTACAATTAATTTCCTGTTAGTGGACGGCAGCAGGCCATTACGCACCTTTTGTCAGTACGTTCTTTATGTGCTGTTCCTAAGCAGATCAAGGTGTTTTATCACACAGGCTAATAACAAATAAAACATTGAGATAAGATTCATATCCGCATTGTGTTTGGATTTGTGGACTGCGACCAAACCGGGTGTTGATGTAGCCGTCAACTCAAATATTTATGTATTTTTTATGAATCTGTTGTTTGATCACAGTACAAGGTGTGTTTTGTTCCTAATCAAATTCAATATTAGCCTTTTCCGGTGTGCGTAGGGACAACAATAGACACAAAGCATTATGCAAAGCCTTGTAGGGGGAAAGAAATGGCCAGAATTCAGTTTTTATGCGCCATATATCTGGAACAAATTGCAGGTCGGCTGCATTTCTGTTTTATATCAAGACTTGTGTTCTGTCTGCTGCAGGCTTTTATTAAGTAAACTAACTATCAATTTCCTATATTGCACTATAACTTCGATACATGCCTTATTTCTTTTCAGCTTGTGTTAAATGATTCTCTTTGCTCTTTAATGTGCTTGTAAAACACTCTGATTTAACGTTTTATATATGCCTTGTAACACTCCGGGGGGGGTTTGCAAAGAGAAGAGGAATAATAACTCTATTCAAACTATTATTCAAAATAACATTCCCAATTCAAATGTAATTTCACACTTTGTGTCACACGTTCCACATTAATAGCAGATCATTGAATAGATGGTGGGTGGATTAAAAAAGACAGAAGGAAAGAACATGGATTTCAATACTGACACTAAATGCTTCTGTAGTCTGGTGTAGCTTACACTGTTTGACTTTTTTATGAGCCTTTTGGGGATGTTGATGCAACTTGCTGTTAGTTATTGCAGCTGTACTCAGTGTTTGTAGATGTTGAAAGTGTATATCCTGTAAGTGTCAGGCAGCGCTGGATTTTTAGTGTTTTTGGGGATGTGTGATAATTTTTGAGTGTTTCCCCTTTTCCAAATGACATAATCTTCCAGCGTTTGTATACTGAAGCAGCCACATATTGAAAGCAATTAGTCTTACAGTAGTTCTATTTGAGGCTGTCAACACTGATGCTTAAGCTGAGTTAATTATATTTATGAGAGCTGTTTTTGGTGTTTGCTTTTACCATGGGAACACTTACATTTCCAAAGTTTAGATATACAGAGCCAAGTGCCGTAGGCTGCAATACATGCATACGTGTTTCACATTTTGTACGCAGAAGACCATCATTAAATATCAAAACGACCGGGAAAAATAGGGTGACACTCACAAAGGAACCTTTTTGTCGGCAACTGTTCAAACACATCCGTCCTATTTTCATTATAATCATCATACACTTAATGGCATCCACATTGTGATCCCACGTCTTTTCCCCAGCGCTCTGTAAGTAATGAGAGCGATGTTACCTCTGTTACCTCCGCTTATTGAAAAGGGACACAGCAGCTATTGTAGCAACCTAATCACATGCCTCCCACTCCTCTGATAAAGCAGCAGATAGAAGTATTTGAGCAGAAACAGAGCCTGGAGATACACAAGGGCAGGCCGGCATTAGCAAACCATGATAGCATGACTTCATCCGGCTCCTTGGACGTGGGTTGAGAATATGTGGTTGAACACTAAACATGTGTTATTTGGAGGGTGGTGAATTTGCACAATGTATTTTTCATATTTTGTTCTATAGTGAGTATTTGGTTTAGTTTCTAAGTTACCATTGCTCTAGTCTTATGCATAATTTAAGAGCTCTCCAGGCACAACTTTCACAAGCAACTCGTGTATTATCTGAAAGTCTTCTGAAGAACGTTCCCACTGAACAGAGGGTTTTTTTGCATATTATTTTTGCATAATGGCTCTGTAACAATATGCACAATTATCCTCAATTTATTCCACAGCTGTTTGTCTATTTTCTTCTCTGCCAGGGTCATTATCTCTGCTGCATTTTAGGAAAAAGTAACTGTAGATTTTGCAACCCATTAGCCATATCCTTTCTGCTCCTACTTTAAGGACTCCTGATGTCACTATCACTCATCTTCATAGAAGTAGCATGGCATCAAAGCAGCCAAAAGGAGTAAAGCACTGCTGCGTGATGACATGCGAATAACAGCAACTCTTGCTTATGCTGCAATGAGAATCTTTTTCCCCAAATAAATGGAAGATGCTCTTGCCTTTGTGCGTGTTTTTTTTTTGGCCCAAGGAGGTAGCCCACCCACAGTCCTACGCTGCACAATTTGTGTGCTGCAGTCTGAGATGTCTCTCATGCTCTACATCAGAGATTCTTATGGAAAGAAATATCTTGCTACGACCCAGACTGGGTAAATTTAGTCTCGCTCCTTGCTGCTTCTCCTGTCAAAAGGAGACCAGGATGAGGACTTCCGAACCCTAACTTTAGAATCCCATCAAGTCTTTCACGCTGCTCACCTCCTTTTTTAAAAAGCAGCCCTGCAAGTGAAGGCTGGCACTGTGTGGATTAAGGTCAACACACACTGTTATTTGCCAGTGCTAAAACAAAGACCAGATGTATACCAGACTGTACCATACTTTAATTATACCCCCCACAGTAAGATAAACCTGCACATTTAATTAAGTCATCTCCATCGCCATCCTTTTAAAAAGAGATCATTTGTAAATGTCTTAGGCAGTGATGTGCTGAATGCGGAGGTGTCCTTTTTTAAAAAGATTATTAAAGGCCTGTGTCCTAGAGTCGTGATGGTCTTGTCGGACCAAGGACTAAGTGCTCCTCTAGTTGGCCCAATAACCCTTACAGCTCATGCTTGTTCCTTTAGCCTCACTAATTGCCCTGTTACCTCCCAAGGGCCCTTGTGGTCAGGCAAAGTGCCCTTTTGATTAGCGTGTGTGATGTTCTGGTGCAATTCTAGAGGGATAAATTAACCCTACCCGAACAACAAAGGTATATGTTAAAGGAAGTGTGTAGCATGGACTGAGAGTAGTTATAGCTGTTGCCTAGCAATTGCATTTAGAGTCTCAGATTATAGTGTATTGTTTATTATATAAGGAGCATGTAGCTGTAGCAGTGACGTCGAGCCACATGAAAGTGGAGCTGGATGTTTGAGTCACTTAAATGAGGTCAGTTTTGATCATTTTGCTGATGCTAAATGTCCCTTAATGTCAAGTTATCGTTAGCATGATTTAACATATGATGGAGCATTTTCAACCACTGGCAACAGGTTGTGGTTGGACTTGTTGGATGAGGAGAGTAATATTGAAACACAACGTCAGAGAGGTGGGATCACAAGACACCGCCTCCCTATGGCTGTAAACAACTTGCCTGACATTTACATTAGCTCTCAGTCTGACAAAAACATCAGATCAAACATACTGTATGTACGTGTTGATTGACATTTACATAGACTAACTCTTATGTCATCTGTCTGCTTTTGCCCTTTGTAAACACACTTACTTTTCGTTGTCACAGAGTTTCAACCGTTCCTTTTTGACAAACACACGTCTAGGCTTGTAGGATATTTGATTGTCACGTTCTGGCTGTCAAACCTGTCCTTTAGGTGTTATGCAATCTGTAGCATCTGGATAATGCAATGGTTCAAAGACAACATTCTTAATTTGAAGATACATCATGCATCTAGGTTTTAAAAACAGTTTAGGGTAATTAGAGGACATTCCTGGTCTTTTGTCATGGC